ATGACTTAAATTTAATTGAAACTTCTGAAGAGCTCAACAAAATTATAGATTATTTGAAAAATGAATTTGAGATGAAAGATTTGGGAAAAATCAAATTCTGTCTCGGATTGCAGATTGAACAGTTCCCAAAATGATTATTTATTCATCAATCTACATATACAGAAAAATCTTAAAACGATTTTATATGAATACTGCACATTAATTGGCATCACATATGATTGTTCAATCACTTAATGTGAAAATGAATCATTTTCGTCCATTTGCAGATGGAAAAAATGTTTTTGGTCCTGAAGTACCATATCTTAGTGCAATTGAGTATCAACTTATCTTGCAAACTGTACTCGATCTGACATAATTTTTTCTGTAAATCTTATTGCAGGATATAACTCTACACCAACACAAAGACATTTTAATGATGTTAAACATATTTTTCATTACCTAAATGGTACTATTGATTTGAAATTATTTTATTTTCAAAAGTCGGTATCTGCTTTAGTGGAATATGCAGATGTATGTTATCTCTCTGACCCACGTAAAACTAAATCACAAACAGGGTACGTGTTAACACGTGGATGAACATCTATATCATGAAAATCTGTAAAACAATCATTGATAGCAACGTCCTTAAATTATTCTGAAATTATTGCAATCCATGAAGCAGACCGAGAATGTGTATGGTCGAGGAACACGACCCATCATATCTATGCATCATGCGGACTAATTTTAACAAAAGATAGTCCAATAATTTTGTATGAAGACAATACTGCTTGTATTGCACAACTCAAATAACATTATATCAAATGTGATAGGACGAAGCGTATTTCCCCAAAATTCTTTCATACACATGAGTTTCAAAAGAATGATGACATTGATATTCAACAAATTCGATCAAGTGATAATGTGACTGATTTATTTACGAAAGTACTACCAAAATCTACATTCAACAAATTGGTTCACAAGATTGGAATTCGCCGACTTAAAGATTTTTAGTGATCAATATTAAGGAGAGTAGTTGTACTCTTTTTCCTTCGCTTAGGTTTTATCCTACTGGATTTTCCTAATAAAATTTTAATGATGCAGCATTTAATTTTAATACTCCAAAATAATTGTACTTTTTTTCTTCGTATGACTTTTTGTCCCATTGAGTTTTTATCAAATAAAGTTTTAACGAGACAGTTATTGTACAAATAATCATCAAAGTGGAGTGTTGTAAAATAATGAGATAATTATTGATAATTATTTAGTACTATTATAATATATAGATAAGTTTTATCTAGTTCAGAGAGTATATTTTATTCTAATTGTAACTCTTATTTTAGATCCTATAAATACTGGTATTGATTCTCAATAAAAGATACACTTGAGTTTTAACTCTTATATTTTCTTCACTTCTTGTTCTATTATTTTTATTTCATAATAAAATATTTTTGGTATATAATTATATACATAATATTTTATATAATGACGAAGTGTCAAGGTTAGCAAATTTATAATAACATAAGAGATCGGATAAAAACTTTGTTGGTCATCAAATTTTCAAAGCGTGTTACATTAGTCATCATTTTTATTACAAAATCATTTCAATTAAAGTACTGACCACACATTATGAACATGTTTGACTAAACTTAAAATTCAATTAAAATTGAAAAATATAATCGTTATTGGGTCTCACTCGTCTAATAAAAGTCAACAATAACGGTCAATTTTTCAATTTTAATCTCTACCGAACACGCTAATTTAGTGATTTAACGGATTCAGGGAATGAATCCAGCAAGGAAAATTATATGACCAACGAAAATGATAACAAACAAAAAAAAATAACAAAAATATCCAAAATTGAGTTGACCTCTATATTAAGTGAATAAATTGATGGGTTAACAACTGAAATCGTCAATGGAATTGGCATTTTTTAAGCTTATTAATAATTATCGCACCAATCAACTGCACATGCATTCACTTGTTACACACCTCAACAAAACTATTTATTTCCCTAAAAATAATCAAGAAGAGTTACTTAACTAAAAGAATGTACGGTGACTAAAATGAGTCAATTTGAAAGTTTGGTGTCCAATAGACTTTTTAACCTAAAAGATGAAGGGCTGTATTACAAAGAATTTCCAAAACATTTTGAATTCCCAGAGCCTCTGTTCCCATCCTCCCTACAGAGTTGCATTTCACAATAGTATTTCAAATTTCAGCGAGATGAACTCTCTGATTGTGAATCTTGAAACTTATCCAAGCCAAGAAAATAATTAGAGAAGTCGATAGCGGTGCCAAAAGACTGATAAATTGGGCAATCGAAAATCGCTTGAAAAGACTTCGCAGATTCACAGTAATGGATTCTGGTTCGCCTCGTTCTCGCATCGATCAGGTATATAAACAATTTTTTATAAGCAAGTGAATTTAATTATTAATGTGTATATACCATCCGTTGTGGCCTTGTTGTACACCGAAACGAGTACGTGTATGTTGGGATTCTATTCGATGAGTATAATCATTCACATATAAACGCGTATATAGATCATGTATACACTTTTTTCTTTGCGTGTGTTTGCGTAAAAACTATGTAGGATATAAACACGGGTGTGTATTTTAGCTTTCACCTCAGAAAATAGAAAAGGAAAGGAAGAATAGCAAGACGTGCACAGTGCCTATAGAAACTCCAGTTTGATGTTATGAGAAAATGACATTAGTTTGAGGTATCAATGTCCTTTTTTCTTTTTTGTAAGTATTGGTTAACTGAATTATGCGATGATGAATACTGTGTTAGTCGAAACTGAAGTATTTATTTTTACTTCTGCAAAGCCCTAATGTGACTTATTTATGGTGGGATTGATGGTTATGGAAAACTTGACACGATAAAAATGGGCCTTGCTTAAGATTTTATTGTTTCCATTTTTTGGGGTTGGTTGAAGTTGGTGGGCATTCATAAAACAATGGAAGCCAATTAATGTGGTACAATCTGTTTCTGTGCAGTTCTTTGCTTCTAAAAAGAAGAGGAAGACTTTATCACCGCCTTTGAAATCTGGGAGATCAGAAAAAGAAGCAAAAGTTAAAATTGAAGGTTCTCCTAGTGCCAAAGGTTCGTTGGAAAGTTTTTTGGTGACTTCACAAGATGGTGATTTGCATACTAAGCCTTTGAACACTGCTCTTGATCCAAAGGCTAAGCAGGTTCCAACCAAGAGAAATCTGACATTGGAGATTGGCTTGTCATCTAAAGATGGAAATAACGAGGCAAATCTCTCATGCCAAGCACACCCACAAAGTCTTGAAGCTTTTCAAGAGGATCAAAGGGGAAAATCTAAAGTCTTGTTTGATACTGTTGGTGTTGCAACAAGAGATTTTCAAAAGGATTCATCAGAGTCCAAGATTGTTGCGGGAAACTCTGAGCTTAAGCAGTTCGCAAATGATTTTTTGTCACTGTATTGCAGGTAATGTTTATACAACTAATGTTCAGTGGAACATATGTATTTTGTCTGATGTGATCAGGAATGAGCTAGCTAAGTACTCTCTGTAATCTTTTGTGGAGATTCTGACCTTACTCTTATGTATAGTGAAGTACCATCTACTGCGGGAGTACAATCAGAACCGAATGTGGCCATGAATAAAAGGCAGGAAGATAAATCCTCAAAGAGAAAGCATCTTAGGAATGATGGGAATCAGTCTATTGTCGAGCGCAATGTCACTTCCTCAGACGATAAGAATCTTGTCAATACTCAGTCAATTATTGTTAGTGAATCAGGAGATGTGGATTCAAAATATTCTCAGGAGGTAAGAGGTCACATGAAATAATCATGGCAGCGTATCAAGCTAACTTATCTTTTGATTCAAACTTATCTTGACAGGTTATTGTATGTAAAAACCCCATCGAACTGCAAGCAAGTTTGAGAAAATGCCGTGTCGCATCTGCTCTTTGCACAACTGCGTGTGACACACCTGGTTCATTGACTATGAAACTTGGAGCTCGTCAAACTCCCCAGACAACGAGAGGAAGCTCTATATTTTCCCCGGGAGAAGAATTTTGGAATGAGGCAATTGTAGTCGCTGATGGTCTCTTTGCTTCAAAGGACAGTGTTTCTTCTCATGTAGCTGAAAATACTGAAGCTTTTCTAGCTGGTTATGAGATGAATAACTCAAATAATGTGAAAAATGGAGGATCTTGCAATCCACTCAACAAAGCGTTGAACAGAGATACAGAACGAATTTCTGCTGTAGGCTCACTGGGGAAGCATGGAAAAGATCTAAATAAAGAAGTGTCACCTTTGCCTGTCAAGCATTTTGACTTCTCTTCTGAGGAAAAAAAATTGGATGCAGAAACTTCTTCTGATGATAATAATACCAAACCTTGCACTCTTAGAGATGAACAAAAGAGACATGCTTCTACAAGTCATCATGGTTTGCATAACAATAATGGTAGGGATATTTGCTGCAAAGTTCAAACAAACAAAATTTCTCCTGTTGGACAAGGGGTGACCACTACATGTGCCATTTCCCAGAGAAATGTGGAATTTGCGATTCAAAATAGTGGCAATTTTACGTCTGATACACCAGAGAAAGAATGCAGTAAATTTTCTGTTAATCATGAAATCAACAGCAATATTACTCCATCAAGTTTTACTTCGATTAAGGATTGGATGGATCTCAGCAATTGGCTACCACTTGAAATATGCTGCATATACAAGAAAAAGGGAATATCGAAATTGTACCCTTGGCAGGTATGTATTTCCCCAACAGTTAAATCCTGTCTCCCTCAGCCTTTCAAGTAAGGGTACAACAAGTTCAAATAGTTCTTCGTTCCTCCTGGTTATCGAACATGGCATAATTTGTGATGAGTTGGACCTTGTCCCAGCTTGAAACTTTATAACTTAATCAAGGTTTTTGTACACATCATTTCCATCATTACATAGTTTATTATCTCAAATAGTTAGTTCAATAGGTGGCCAGTCTTCAATCTTGTGCAAGATATCTATTGGGGGTAGTTAGTTCAAGAATAAACTACCAGATAATGCTCATTCTGTTGTCATTTAGGGAAAAAAAAAAAAAATACTTACGGAGGTTTTCATTCTCCAGGTGTCAGATACTTTGGACTCTTTAGTGATTATATTACTGCATTGGAGGTGCTGCAAATATACATATGGTGTCTACGTGGCCCTCCAACTTTATATTTGCAACTGTACCCGAGCTTCACTGACTGCCTTTTTCTTTTATTATTGTATTTTATAAAATTATAGTACCCAGCACAGTTTTATTTTAAATTGATAGTGTAGCTAAATAGCTACACTTCATACTTCTTGTCAAGTCAGGAGGTAGACTAGGATGCGATTCCTCGAAAGTGTGTGGAAAACTTATACATTACATTGAGGATTGTGTACATTCTAATATTTGATTCATTTACTTCTGCCTTCTGGTTTTCTTTTATTACTGTCTGTCTGTCTAAAATTAGCAATGCCCTTTTTGGGTTTCTAAGTTTTTTTTGACAGAATTTCAATTCGAGCACTTCATTTCCGGGCATTCTCTGTTGAATGTGTCAGCATGTTTGAACCTGTTAATACTTAACAGTTTTAAGGATTCATCCATTATCTATTATGGACCAGTAGGTTGTAGGTCCTTTTTAAGAGAATATTCATGCTAGGCACGGTGTAAGTACACGTACACACGTTCTTGCAAGATACCCTACAGCTTATGAGCGATATCATGATGTGTAGAGTAGTGTTTTAATTGAGCATGTTTTTGTGTGCAATCACTATGCTCCACTGCAATTAAGAAAGATACCCTACAGCTTATGAGTGATATCATGATGTGTAGAGTAGTATTTTAATATCAAGTTTTTGTGTGCAATTACTATGCTCCACTGCAATTAAGCATTACGTCAAATGATCTTGTGCTTGTGCTTTTCCATTTCTCATGCATCAGTTACAAGGGTGCCGATGGAATTTTGAAGATGGATCCTTGACAATTTAAAATCACAAAAAGCCCTTAGAACAAAGTAGACAATAACAATATATGGAGGGAATACTTGTGATCTTATATGTGGTCTAGGTTTCATAAAATTTTAGTTTAAACTATTGCGGAAGTGATTTTGCATTGCTTTCTTTTAGTTAAGGTTTCAATTGAAAAATAAAAACCCCTCCACTCTTCAGGTTGATTGCCTTCGGGTGGATGGTGTCTTGCAGAACAGGAATCTTGTTTACTGTGCATCTACAAGGTAATTTTACTTTTGTATTTAGAATTTGTATAAAATTTCCCTTTCAGTTCTTATTCTTTTCTCTATATCATGATTTTTGAAGTGTTACTGTTGTTTGAATATCCATTATGAAATTTCACCTATGAATCTGGCAACTCTTCAAATTATTCAAAGAAGGAAGTTTACTACAAAAAGAATAAGTGAAACTTAATGAAGCAACATTGCATGATTTTGTTCTTCCTTTATTCTGCTTATTGATGGCAACACTTTAACTATCGTTGCAAGATAACTGAAACTAGCCATGTACATGTCACATCTTTTATTAGTCAAAATCATCAATCTCTTGCTAATTTGGTCTGCCTTCCTTTGGTTGTCACAGTGCTGGTAAAAGTTTTGTTGCTGAAGTATTAATGCTAAGGAGAGTCGTATCAACTGCAAAGATGGCTCTTCTTGTACTCCCATATGTGTCTATATGTGCAGAAAAGGTGCCTTGTTTTCTTTGCTGTTGATTAAATGTTTCAAGCTCTATACGCATGTCTTGTGCTTTAGCCTTGGTTTGAAATTTTTAGGCAGAACATCTTGAAGTTCTTTTGCAACCACTTGATAAGCACGTTCGCAGTTATTATGGGAATCAAGGTGGTGGAACTCTTCCGAAGGATACCTCTGTAGCTGTCTGCACTATTGAGAAGGCAAATTCTTTAATTAACAGATTACTAGAGGAGGGTCGTCTATCGGAGCTTGGTATCATTGTCATTGATGAACTGCACATGGTATCTACCTTGCTTTATATTTTATGATAGTAATACGCACCAAACGTGTGTGAATTTTCATATAGCTATCTTTATTTTACCTAATTCTTCTCTCACATGCGTGGAATAATTTTATTGGATCGTAACAGGTTGGTGACCAGAGTAGGGGCTATTTGTTGGAACTCATGCTGACAAAGCTTGGTTATGCTGCTGGTGAAGGCAATGTAGAATCATCTAGTGGAGAAAATTCAAGTATGAGCAGTGGGAAATCCGATACTGCTCATGGTCTCCAAATTGTTGGCATGAGTGCAACGTTACCAAATGTCGCTGCAGTTGCTGATTGGCTTCAAGTGAGTATATTACCATTATTGCTACTTATACAGCCACCTTGAGGAAAGAGAGAAAGATAAAGAAGAAAAACAGAAAAGGGAAGGAGAAAACAACTTTTGACAATATATATATATATCAAAACACCAACGCATCCTCAGTGGGTTTTCAGGCTCCACCAGAGAAGTCTAATGGGACGAATCCACCACATATATTATGTTATGATCATCACTTTCAAATTATTGTTGAACTAAAATTCTTAGGGATACCAGAACAATTGAATCTTACTTTGCACAGCCATACATCACAATTAGCTGATACATATATGCATATATGAATGTTTCATTCTACAAAAAAATTTATTGCAGGCAGCTCTCTACCAGACAGACTTTCGGCCTGTTCCATTGGAGGAGTACATTAAAGTTGGTAACACAATTTACAACAAAGAAATGGAACTTGTCAGGACACTCCCCAAAGTGGCTGAGCTTGGTGGTAAAGATCCAGATCAAATTGTAGAACTATGCAACGAGGTTCAACCTTCTCCTTGTTCTTCACTAAAGCTTTATATTGCACTAGAATGGAATAACAATGAGATTCTTTATTGTATTAGGTTGTTCAAGAGGGTCACTTGGTGCTAATATTTTGTTCAAGTAGAAAAGGATGTGAATCAACTGCTAGGCATGTTGCAAAATACCTCAAAAAGTTTTCTGTCAGTCCCCATGATGGCCATAGTGAGTCAATCGATGTTACTTTCGCTATTGATGCCTTGCGAAGATCTCCTGCAGGGTTGGATCCTGTACTAGAAGAAACTCTTCCACTTGGTGTTGCCTACCATCATGCTGGCCTCACAGTACGTTAGATTCATCTTTGTTGGTCTCTGTTCTTTTTCTTTACCATACGGATTACACATCCAAGTTATGTATTACATTTGAACGCTTATGAAGTTCTTCATTTCATTAAAAGGTTGAGGAAAGAGAAACTGTCGAAACCTGTTACCGCAAAGGACTTGTACGTGTATTAACTGCTACATCAACCTTAGCTGCCGGGGTTAACTTGCCTGCCCGGAGAGTTATTTTCAGACAACCCCGTATAGGCCGCGATTTTATTGATGGGACAAGGTATAAGCAGATGGCTGGAAGGGCTGGTCGAACTGGCATAGACACAAAGGGAGAGAGTGTATGTGTATTTGTTTCATATGTTTTGTCTGCTTCATCTTCTAATTGTTTCTTGGGTTTTAGACTTGTAGTTCTATATTTTTCTATTGTTATTTTCACTTGGAGCTCTTCCTACCCATTAAGTAGATCCTTGTTAGCCATTGTTATTTTCAATTATTTTTGTTGAAGATTTCTAAAGCATCGTCTGCTGAGGAGGATATTAACCTTTTTGTCGTCTTCTATAATTTCATTCCATCAGGTACTACTTTGCAAGCCAGAGGAAGTCAAGAGAATAATTGCACTCCTTAATGACGGCTGTCCACCACTGCACTCTTGTTTGTCTGATGATAAGAATGGGATGACGCACGCAATATTGGAGGTTGTTGCTGGTGGAATTGTTCAAAGTGCTAGCGATATTAATCGTTATGTTAGGTGTACTCTTCTCAATTCAACAAAACCCTTTGAAGATGTGGTGAAATCAGCACAGGACTCTCTTCGTTGGTTATGCCATAAGAAGTTCCTAGAATGGAGTGAAGAGACTAAGTTATATACCACTACACCTCTAGGCCGTGCATCTTTTGGCAGTTCTCTCAGTCCAGAGGAATCACTTGTAAATACTTTATTGCTTGTTATATTACGCATTTTGTAGTCTTTCTATATCCATGCAGCGTCGATATTCTATTCTGATCAGGCCGCTAACGGTTTCCTGTTATCTCCAAATTTGTGAAGTTGAGCTTACGCTGGGGGGAAATGGATTAGTTAACATATGAGTTCTGTTTGCTTTTAGATTGTGCTGGATGATCTGATACGAGCAAGAGAAGGATTTGTGCTTGCATCTGATTTGCATTTGGTATACTTGGTGACACCCATTAATGTTGATTTGGAACCAGATTGGGAGTTGTATTATGAGAGATTCATGCAACTACCTTGTATAGACCAGGTTCTTTGCTCCTGGTTCTCCCTTTTTATGACTTCTGATGTCCCATTCAACAATTACCATTGCATTTGTTAGATGCTGATTGCAAAGTTGTGTAGCGCTTCAAATTTCTGTTTTATGCATCTATTTAATTGCTTTCTTATGCTAGTTTTGATGTTAATAACATGTTTTGCAATATGTATACTGGAGTGTATAGCCATTTAGTCATTTCAGAATATTTTATAATAGTCATTCTCTTATTCTAATGGACACATCTCATATACTTGTCTCTATAAGTAGTGAATATAGACCCTAAATTTAGTCATCATGCATGGATGCTTGATTATTAAAAGCTGCCAAATATCAACTACAAGGGGTATGATTTTTCTGTCTACATTGACTATAGTTAATTGGCGCTAGGAGAGCATGCGATAATGACTTCCTTGTTAACTGTGAATGAGCAAGTCTCTTCTCATACGGATCTATCATGCAAGACACTGTGATGGAAAGAGATTCATATTGGTCCTTTCAATCCCTTTCTTTCAATTACTTCTATCCTCTCTATTGCGCTGCATGTTTCTCCCAATCTTTTTGTCCCCTTATTTAGGTACCTGTACAGGTCCCCATTTCCCTTGTTAATTTGTTGTATCCAGGACGAGAACAAGCTTTGGTAATGCCTGATACATAATCTCCTTTCGTTCTTTTTAATTCTATTGTTGCCATGGTTGGGGTAATTAAACTTCTAATAATATTCCATAAAAGAAGTGACGTGGCCTAGTTTATTCATATTCTCGTTGGACTCTCTTAGATATTTTATGGAATGATGATCCCACCTAATAGCTTAAGCTATGAGAGGGAGGAATTCTCCATATTGGTACCCATAAGTGTTGCATGCTCCAAGGATCTTTAACTATGTGGGTTCTTCTTTCTTTTCTTGAAGACAAGTTTTAAGTCCCTCTTCAACGCTTGTTTGTAATCTGATGTCTATAGAGTTGGATAGACATCAGACATGGCATAATAACTAATTCAGGGAAAATGAAAATATTATTTCACAGGAAAACTGAAAACTGAAAATGCTAAAAGATGTTCACTTGTAAGCGCAACTCTTTTCTATTATAGCATTGATGGGTGTATATGTGTGTCTCCTTATCATAATTGTATGCGAATTTTATTTTTTTGTCAATAAGAGAAATTACCTATACAATTGTTGCTTATCCTGATGGGCGCTAACCTAATTGCAACGATTAATTTATGCAAAGTCTTTGGTTAAAATCTTTGGCTGTAATGTCGTTCTACTGCCTTGACTGGGATGACACGGGCCTTATGCTGTTGTTTGGCATCATTATCCTTTACTAATTTCCTCCAGTTAATTTTGCCTTTTATTTATTTCATGTGTATGCATCAAATGTTGTTGGAATTTTAGCTAGGGTGACATTATTTGTTGAAATCCCGAGATCATTGGAACCATGATTATTGGAGATTCCACTTTCCATAGGAAGAATATATTAATTGATTTTAGAGATTATACTTGATTTTGAAGATTTGTATTTTTCTTTTTTATTTCTTATTACTTGTACTATAAATAGGAGGGGCAGTCAGCAACTTTATTTTTAAAGAGTTAGTTTGCACAACTACTTTTCTATAACCTATCTTATGGCATGCAGTCAGTTGGCAATAGAGTTGGAGTGCAAGAACAATTTTTAATGCGCATGGCTCATGGAGCACCAATTCGCACCTCACACAGATCAAGGGATAACTTGAAAGGGTTACAGGGAAGATATGATCATAGACATGGGATACCATCCCATGGTATGCTCTCAGACGATCAAATGCTTCGGGTGTGCAGACGGTTCTATGTTGCTCTTATCTTGTCACGACTTGTTCAGGTAAATTTATTCCGTTTGCATGGAGATCTTGGTCAACTTCTTCCCTCGCAACGCCCACCTGTGTTCATAATGTCTTAATAGATTGTTTCCTTTATCTTGTTCTGGATATTAAATTTTCATATATTTTGGTTGTGTTTGCCTTTTCTCTTGTTTGCCAGCCCACATACTACGAAAGACATAGCTCTGTTTTTGTAACTGTGTAACTACTTTTCTTTTCCTTAAAATGTAAACCAGAACAATTGACATTATCAAAATTGTTTCACCACTTGTAACTGTTCACCTTTTTTACGGATATATCTCATAACTGAAGTGCTTTTGTTGAAGTGTTATTATGTGTTTTCGTTTTTATGGCTCAATGAATTTACTTTGTAATGCTGAAATGCAGGAAGTCCCTGTTGCTGAAGTTTGTGAAGCTTTTAAAGTAGCAAGAGGCATGGTTCAAGCCTTACAAGAAAATGCTGGAAGGTTTGCGTCTATGGTTAGTGTATTCTGTGAGAGGCTTTCTTGGCATGACCTTGAGGGCTTAGTTGCCAAATTCCAAAATCGCGTTTCATTTGGAGTTCGAGCAGAGATTGTAGAGCTCACTACCATTCCTTACATTAAGGTTGGTGAGTTGCTTTCATTTTTCTTTAATTTTAAATCAATATCTAATTGTTATTGGCTTTTAGGGTTCACGAGCTAGAGCACTTTATAAGGCTGGTTTACGAACACCTCAAGCAATTGCTGAAGCATCAGTTCCTGAAATTGTCAAAGTGCTTTTCGAGATTTCATCTTGGGCTGCACAAAGTGAGGTTCTTTGTACTGGTCAATGCATTCAATATTTAATTTTATGATTCTAACGAGGATTTTGAATTATAACTCTGCATCTTATTAATTATCATTTTCACTTATGAGCCCCGGTTTGACACACATTCTTTCAAAATTCATTTTCAACCACACATTCTTCAATAAAATAATATTTTCCATCGTATCATTAACTTTTCCTTACTTTTTAAGCCCATATTTCTCATCGTTTCATTATTTAAAATACATTCTTTTCTCAATAATATCCATCAACCACACCCTGAAATTTGAAGAAACGCTGAGGAACAAGGCTTTTCTTTTCTTTTCTAATATTTATTTGCGAAGCAATATATAGATAATGAATCGAGTGGCCCTAATTCTTATTGTACTCGAGCGAGTTTAATTGTATGAGCAAATAATTATGAGAATGAAAATATTTTTAAGGTAATTAAGATTTAAATGGATTTGAGAAGGGAAGGACGGTTAATCATTTTCTTCGGCACGGTGAATTCTCTTTGATTTTCGTCTGTCATGCTTGATGTTTATATATCTACTGATTTTCATGAATTATGGTGATGCAAACTGCGATATATTAACTGAAGTGCTTCTCATATAAAGTCAATGGTTCTTTCAACATATATGGGTTCCCATTTTCTTCTTTGTAGCATCGATGGGGGTGCAAATAACTATGTTCTTATTTCCCCGTTCTATGTATAAGTTTGTAGACTTGGAAATGAAAGTATTCTTTGTTTGTTGGCAAAAGGACTAAGGCCCAAAGTTGATTAGTTCTAGTTTACTTAATTTCTTTTTTTTTTTTTTTTTCATCTTGATCTAAAAGTTTAGGGTGCATTTGGTTTGCTGTTTTTAGTTTTGCAAAACACTGAAAACGTGTTTGGTATTTCTGAAAATGCATTTTCGAAAACAATGTTAAATATATAGCCCTTATTTGGGGGGATTTAAATCAGATTTTTAGTAGATTTTAAAAGTTGTTGAAATGTGTAGTTGAAAAGTTGTGCATATCATGAAATTATGGTTAAAATTAATTGTTGATTTTTACTTAAATTAAAATTTGAATTTGAATTTTCACCAAACAGGGCATAACGTAAAACTTAAAACTCATTTTTGACATTTTGAGTGTTTTCAGTGGAAATTTCGAAAACACTCAAAATATGGGAAATAAGCGTTTAAATAAAATTTTAAATTCCAATAAATAAAATTTTAAATTTAGAACAAAATAGGAATTTTGAAAAAATAAAAAATAAAAGTTTTGAAAAAATAAAATTGTAAAATTTTTCTAGAAAAATAAAAATTATAAAAAATAATAATACTTAAAGCTATTAGTGATTATTTATATAAAAAATCTAAAAAATATTTAAATGAATACAGATAAAAATATTCCCAGTCCACGGTATTAAATTTTATTTTTATGTCCTATATTTTAAACTCAATGTATTATTTATTTTACTTTTGTAATGAGAAAAAAATATTGTAAGATTCACCAACTTCAAAATGTATACATATTAACATAAAATTGTTCTATTTTTACTGAATAATCAAATTTAATGGAAAACAATATCATAAAATAATTTTTCAAAATTTCACCAAACGTGTTTTGTAGTTTTTTATTTTGGGAAATAATTTTTTTTTTTTTTTCAAAATAACAAAACCTAACATGTTTTTAGCAATTTAAAAAAAAACTTTAAAACAGAAAATTGAACATGAACTCAAAATTCAAAACTAAAAATTGAAACACAGAGCAAACGGGCCCTAAGTTGTTAGAAAGTGCCACATGTATATTATTTAAATATTGTCTTCAATATGCCCCCTCACGTGTACGTGAGATTCTTTTTTTACCATCAAAACCTAACATGTGCACAATTCTTTGAAATGGATGGCAATAAGATTTGAACTCAAAACTTTAGCTGTTTTGATATCATGTTGAGTCATTTGATCTAAACGAATAAGGTGATAGGTAGGACCACCGAACGCGTGTATATCATTTAAATATTATCTTGAACAATTTCTTTGCTTTTGGCTTTGCAACCTAGTTCTTGTCATTAGGATGTGAAGATTTGCAAGTTTTTGCTGATTGTATACAAAGAGGGGGTGGTTGCCTCTCCTCTCCTTTCTCTTTTCGCACATATTTAAATACCTTTTTTACTTATTTAAATATTTTCTTTAATTTTGATTTCCTACATGACCATGAAAGGCTCAGCACAACGGAGGATACAGTTGGGAGTTGCTAAGAAGATTAAAAACGGTGCACGCAAAATTGTTCTTGATAAAGCTGAAGAGGCAAGGGTTGCTGCTTTCTCAGCCTTTAAATCTCTTGGACTTGAAGTTCCAGAGTTTTCTCGACCATTACTATCCACTGTTTCTGGAGATGGCCCTAAAAAGGAATCGGCAACTTTTTCTGGTGAGGAGTCCACCAGTAGCTTTGTTGATCTAGATCATAGGGAGAATGTTTTAGACGCATCGTCGTTCGAGGAAAAGAGGAAGACTGGTGGAGTTATTTCCGAAACTGAGGAAGGTAAATCAACAGAGACTCCCACCGTCGGTTTAGCATCTTCAGTGAAAGGAAATCCAGCAGGCACCTCGCATGGTGAACTTGTGGAGAAGCCTGCTTTGCTTGAGGAAGGGGTTAATACTCTGGGTGATGGGCTTTATAGGACTACTCAACATATTAATGCTGCAAATACATCATCTCTTTGGTCAACAGACGTTGGCAATAAAAGAAATGAATCCAATGTGCATGTTGATAATGGAGGGCAGCAACAGCCTGAGAGAGAAAACATGTTCAGGGGAACCAGAGAAAATGAATTAGAGAAGGGTCCTGTAAATGCAACTAGTTTTTCTGGTGGATTTGATTCTTTTTTAGATCTCTGGGATGCTAGTGGAGAGTTCTACTTCGATATTCATTTTACCAAAAGATCTGAACTGAACTCCATTGTGCCATTCGAAATACATGGCATGGCAGTTTGCTGGGAAGATTCTCCAGTGTATTACTTGACTTTTCCCAAGGATTTACTCCGGTGTAACAGCAGAAGAAATGATCACACTACTGAGGATAGTAAATATGTTCTACCACCAAAGGATCAGATGGAGATAGCTAAGGAACGATGGAACAGGATTGGGATTATAATGGGGAAAAAGGATGTAAAAAAATTTACGTGGAACTTAAAATTTCAGATTCAGGTGCTTAAGAGGCCTGCGGTTTCTGTTCACAGATCAAGCAGCATGCACGCTGGAGTTAAAACTCTAAGTCTGGATCTTATCGAGAATTCATACTATATGTTATCCCCCATTCACGTACAAAATGCAGTCGATATGTGTATAGTAGCATGGATCCTTTCACCAGATGAGGAGAAAAGTTCAAATCCTAGTTTGGAGAAGGTAATCTTTGGGTACTTGTTCCTTTTAAGGTTTCTATGTGCAGCTGTGTGCTCATTTCCCTTTGTTTGCTGTTGCTTTATATGGCAAAAGAAGGATGAATGCGCTAACATCTCTCTGGTTATTCACATTTGTTCAAGTTTAAATGGACTCTGAAGTTACAATTCTTGACAGGAAGTTAAGAAACGGTTATCCAGTGAGGCTGCTGCAGCTGCTAATCGGAATGGTAGATGGAATAATCAGATGCGAAGAGCGGCACATAATGGTTGCTGTCGTCGAGCTGCACAAACACGAGCACTGTATTCTGTTCTCTGGAAGTTACTAGTTTCTGAAGAACTAATTGAAACACTCATGACTACTGAAATTCCATTGGTGAGGATTCTTGTTTCACCCAGTGAGGCAACGTGAGTAATGTAAATAAGTTTTGGTCACGTGGCTGGTATCTACTTGGAAAAGTAGATAATTGCAGATCAAGTTCATCAATGTCCTTGACTGCACATTTTTCATCATAAAGTTCCAGTTCCTTTGAATCCATTTAGATGGTTTACAGTTCCTATGTTTAATCTTACAAATCTTCCATGCAAACAACAGTTAGTAAAAATTGTATTTTGATTTGAGTCCTACTTAGTTTAATTCAGTTTTTGGGCATCTAAATGTTAATTTCTGCTTGTAAGTTATTCTCTTCATCGAGCTACCCTTCATCAACTCTTCCGCAACTGATATTTTCAGTATTTTTAATTCCCTAGTTTTTCTCAGTAGTTCTTTAGTCTTAAGTGTAATATTGGTCATGTTTCAGGTCAATGTTCTTGCTGATATGGAGATATGTGGAATAGGTGTTGACATGGAGAGATGTCTTAGGGCACGGCATATTCTACGAATTAAACTTAAGTTTCTTGAGAAGGAAGCTTATCAATTGGCTGGCATGAAATTTTCGTTGTCAATGTCAGCGGACATAGCCAATGTCCTATATGGACACTTAAAACTGCCTAAACCAGAAGGGTACGAAGGGAAACAACACCCTAGCACTGACAAACATTGCTTGGATATGCTGAGGTACTAAAAAAACTAACAAATTTATTAGGTTTGATCCGGTGCATACCTAAGAAAATTACATTTTAAACTGTTGTTGCCATCCAAAGTGTTAAAAATACATTCTAAAACATTCTTAAATCCTTAAACTTGGTACTTTGGATTGATTTTATTCCAATTCCTCAACTCAAATAATAACTGGTCCATTTTCTTATATGTTGATACCTTATTCTGCACCTTTATCTTTTCTTTTATCCTTTTGATGCTTTTATTTTGCACGTGTATTTACTTAATGCCCAAACAACATTATTTATGTTGACTATCCAGTAATTGACTTTGTGGCAATACATGAAATATCTAGATGCTGAGTGATATTAAGGTCATTTCTCTTGTCTGTTTAAGAGGTTATTGGATCAATTGAACTTTGTTTTCTGTCAGGAATGAGCATCCCATTGTCCCGGTAATCAAAGAGCACCGAACCTTGGCAAAGCTCTTGAATTCTACTCTGGGATCCATATGTTCACTTGCTAGGCTTTCCATGAGGACACAGAAGTACACTTTGCATGGTCATTGGCTTCAGACATCAACAGCAACTGGGAGACTGTCGATGGAGGAACCGAATCTCCAGGTTGCCTATTTTCACCAGTTGTATATTTCGTTTATTTTGTTGGTACTCTTTGAATGGATAACATAATGTAAATTTTTTTTCTTTCTGACCTTGTAGTGTGTTGAGCATATGGTTGAATTCAAAATAAATAACAACGACAAGGATGATGATGAATCAGGTTCTGGTCATTATAAGATTAATGCTCGAGATTTTTTTGTACCCACTCAGGTAAAATGCTTTATATTCTAAAACTCAGATTTTTTTATATCATTTAAGAGCGGGGAATTGTGGTCAAGTTGTTTTGTTTGCATCATTTACTTCATTTGTTGCAGGATGATTGGTTACTTCTAACGGCAGATTATTCACAGATAGAATTAAGAATGATGGCCCATTTCTCTAAAGATTCTTTGTTGGTTGAGCTACTAAGTGATCCCCAGGGAGATGTCTTTACAATGATTGCTGCAAAATGGAAAGGGAAAGATACCTGTGATGTTACTTCACAAGAGCGAAACCAAACAAAAAGATTGGTTTATGGCATTCTCTATGGAATGGGACCTAACACCCTCGCAGAACAGTTGGACTGCAGTTCGAATGAAGCTGCAGAAAAAATTCAAACCTTCAAACAATCTTTTCCTGGTGTTGCTTCCTGGCTCCAGGAAGCAGTAAAATCCTGCCATAAGAAAGGGTGAGTTCAATATATTGCAATATGCCCAATTTGTTTGGCTTAATTTTATGAGTTAGAAAAGCAGTGCACAATGGTGATAGGTTTCTTTGTTTAAATTGTTAAGTTGGCCGTATCAGTTTCGTAAGTTCCACTTATTTTTGCTAATTCTTTCTAGGGATTCTAACTTCATCATGAGGCATGCATCTGATTCATTTTTTTGTCTAGAGTGAAAAATTCCAAGACGTTCATTCATCAGTTTTGATATGAGAATTTGAAGGCAAACAATTCAATAATGATAATTTTTAGTTAAGTTGTTTGATTGTAATAGGCTCTTGTTGTGTAGCAGCCCAAAAAGAAAGGAGGTTTCTGTTACTGGCACAGTGAGTAAACGTAGTCCGGGTCCTCGTCAATCTCATGAGAACCAGAACTCGTGTCACATTGTCTGTACATCATTTTTGTTCCCCCTTTTCAACTGGAAATCACGTAACTAAATAGTTTTGATGGTGAAATATGTTGGGGAAGTCAAGTTTAGAATATGAAAATGGACCCTCATTTCATGTGGACAAATGTCACTCATGAGAGGAAACGGGTTTATACCCACTCAATGGGATACTTTTGGATAATAGCTTACAAAATGTATCAGGTGGCTGATATCTGTAGAAATATAGGTTTTAAAGGCAATGTTCTCTCATAAATTTGGTGCTGTATTCTAATCATTATTTTTTCATACAATAAAGAGGATTGAATCATCTTTACCTCTCGTCATTTGTTGAATCTTTACCGCAAAAGTCTTTCACTTTCCAAATTTTATTGTCTTGTTCTAATTCTTCCACATGCACTGTATGATCCTCCTTCCTGCCAAAAGCGCTATCTTGATGTTCAGTTATTTCCCCTATTATAGTTACTTTATCTCATTTCCTGCAGTTTTATCAAGACCCTCAAGGGACGAAAACGCTTCTTGACAAAAATAAAGTTTGGAAACAGTAAAGAAAAATCCAAAGCTCAGAGACAAGCTGTGAATTCTATTTGTCAGGTGGTTTTTCTTTCTAGCTATTATATTTATCCACTTTTGCGTTGGTGGATGTAGGCGGCCTCTCTCTTGCTCTTTTTGGAAGAATGTTCAGTGGTTTTAATTGTACTGAATCTGTGTTTCTAGGGATCTGCTGCTGACATAATCAAAATTGCTATGATAAATATACATTCTGTTATTGTTGAGGATGCTGAAGCGTCTCATCCTAGTTCTGTATTTGCTGAAAAATATTATATGCTGAAAGGACGCTGCCGATTACTTCTACAGGTACTCTACCTATAAACTTTCCCTCTGATTATTATGGTTGTTAGTCATGGAGACCATGCTAAGTTGCAAAGGGAATTTGAAGGAAACTGCTGTCTTGAAAATGATGCACCCCGAGATTTTGGCCATTAACTTTCTTACAGGAAAAGTGCCTCTCAAAAATGATGCATCCCAAGTTTTTAACCTACATTCTCCATGAACTTTCCCTTCAGGCCATTCTACGTATTCAGCTTGATGTTTAAAACTGTTGTAGGCATGACAAGATATGCATTTGTAACACTCCACAATAATTTCATGCAAATTTATATCAGATTGTTTGGTCAGAGAGAAATTTCATGTTGCTATATTCAGTTGTTAATTAGAGACAATGTTTCGTCAATGATACAGTTTTTACGTCAGAAATATTATGTCTGCTTTCAAATTCTGCTCTTCAGGTACATGATGAACTTGTACTGGAAGCTGATCCTTCAGTTGTAAAGGAAGCTGGGTTGTTGCTGCAAACTAGTATGGAAAATGCCGTGTCACTTCTTGGTATGGTCTTAAAAACTTTTATAATAATGCATGTATAGCTATTGAATTTGATACCTGGAACATGAAGCAAATACTATTTTATTTTAACGAGTGAATGCTACACAAATCTTTCTTTTACTTGCTTTTTGGCTGTTGACCATTTTTTACTGGAGAAAGAGCAAGTATTATGCATTGGCATTGTGAAGACCTGTTAAGAGGAATGGTTGTGTATTGTGTCACATGGTCACCAGTTACCATGGAGTTACTCGCATGGGGTATTAATTAATTAATGTGTATGGTAGGATTTTGTCATGTGGTGGAATATTGATTGTACTGGTGTAAATTTGTATTTGCACCAATGTGTTATATTATCTACATTGCTTGAGAGTGATCTTATCTGGTTCTTTTTTATATTTTCCTCTATAATAATAATAATAGTAATAGTTTTTATTTTTCATGGAGACGTATTACATTCACAAGTGGTTCTGATGTATTCTATGGCACAGTTCCTTTGCCTGTCAAATTGAAAGTTGGCAGAACATGGGGATCTTTGGAGCCTTTCATACCTGAGAACTGCAACGATGATGTAACACTGCCTGGTTCTTAGATCTGCGTGATTGCATGAACTGTATTTGAATTGCTTTATTGGAAGGACCCCAGTGCCTGCGACCATGTTAATGAGTAATGGTAATATGTTAAATGATTTGTTGAATGTATATTTGTTTTATAATCAATGGATGTATTGCCATATGTCACAAGTATCTGTTTATTACAGACATATATGAACTCCAGCGAATATTCATGGACGACTGGTTTGGTACACATCTGCCTCGAGGCTCAGATTTCATATTAGCAACTGGCTTTATCATTCCTTCATAACAGCGGGCCAAGTTTGGTGCTTCAGTAATTTATCCGAAGGATATCATCAACAATTCTTCTTGACAAGTTCTTAGAGGTTACATTGTGCTCAAGACTATGTCGTATCATTGTCCACAGATGCATTCACAGCCTCAGAATCTGAATTCTTTACCTTGTTGGGTGCATCTTGATTTGGTTAACATGTTTACGCAAACATGTTACCCACATATCATTGCTCTTGTTTTATTTGCAAGGCCTTTGCCTGATATTGAGTATCAAGGATGTTGAAGTATTTGTTGAGACATGCCCATCTACTTTCAAACTTCAGAATAGCCCTCTTTGTAATTCCTTCTCCTACCAGCCTTGGCGCAACCAGGGGATATTTCCGGACTCTTATACCAGCTTGTATATAGGTGGATACAATCTCAGGCCTAGGAAAACAAAGAAAAGTCGAAAACATACCATTGACTGTGAGGGAAGATGTTTTTAGCTCATCATTTTCATCATCTTAGGTTCTTGCATTCTCTTTTTCTCTATGGCCCAAGTTTTTTTGGCTCCCCTTAGTTTGTAATGGCTCTAAGCGTATTGAGCCCCCAGTCATGTTTCTTGGTTCTCGTGGTTGTTTTGATCCACCTTCTAAATGAGGTTTTGTGTTGTTTTACCCACTGGAGGTCAGGTTCGGCCCCCCTCCTTGAGGTGTACTTTTTCGTTAGTATTAATAAAATCCATCCTCGAGGTGCTTTGATTATAAAGAAAAAAGGATGTTGATGTGTTGGATTAACCAACTTGATGTTGATGTAAGAAACGGAAGGGTCTGTTCTTTTTTATAATTTTCAAGTCGTTTTTTGTTTTCGATTTTCCAAAATAGTCTCTTTTGTATTTTCGAGAATGAGATAAAAATTTACAAACAAAATCCAAAACGACAAAGTGTACTCAGTTATAATCAAGTCAAAAATTTCAAAACGCATTTTGGGCGTTTTCAAAATAATTTTTCAACATGTCAAAAAGAATATATTTTCAACAATCTCAAAATGGACACACAAAATCGAAAATGAATTCAAAACTCAAAATATAAAACTTAAAACACAATTGTCGTTTTAGCTGTTTTCAATTATAATCAAGTCAAAAATTTCAAAACGTGTTTTGGGTATTTTTAAAACAATTTTTCAAAATGCCAAAAAGAACACATTTTCAACAATCTTAAAATGGACACTCAAAACACAAAATCGAAAATAAATTCAAAACTAAAACACAAAGAGGAGAAGAGTCCCTTAGCTCTTGTTTGACCTTCATTTTTTAAGAAGAATTTGATTTGGAATAGTGATTGATGGAAGAATGTGTAGTTGAAAAGTAAGGAGAATTTTTGAATTTATGTGTAATATTATTTTATTGATAAAATGTGTGGTTGAAATGAAAAAAGAGAAAAAAAAAAAGAGAATGAGAATGAGAAAAGATGGATGTCAAACAAGGGCTTAATGTCGGTGTAGTATCCCTCTAAACGACGAAGTTCAACTGAACTAATATTCGTGAGGTGGTTTATATACATTGAAGCGCAAAAGAAGATGGACAAAGTGGGGCAGCAATTTGAATGGTAAGCTTCGCTCCAGACAAGTTTTAACATAAATTGTTTTATGTGTAGGTAACATCAGAGAAAATGGTGGAAAATACCCGATTGACTCGGCCACTTTTCCACAATAGCCTTTGATCATGTAAAAAAAAAAAAAAGGAAAAACTAATAAAAACTTAAAAGTCCAGCATTTTCCCATTTTTACCCTCACACGTGACTTGGAAGAGAGTTGGGAGAGAAAGCACCGACGGCGTGGTGCCCGCCCAAAAAATCGCCGCCCAAACCGGAATCGCCATTTCTC